GATGGGTTGTAATTAGTATTTGGGTGGTGAACATGATGTAATCTATGGAGAAATAGAAGTATAATGATGTACACCTGAAATTTATACAATGTTATAAACCAATGTTACTTCAATAAACAAAAAATTTTAAAAAAATAAAAAATATAAAAAATAAAAATAAAAAAAAAAGAGGACTTGCTAATGGATTAGATGTAGAGGTGAGGAACAGAAGGATTTAAGGAAGAAGGACGATTCCTAGATTTCTGGTTTAAGTAACTGGATGGAATGGCGCTGCTATTTACACAGGGGAAAGACTGAAGCTGAGGGACAAGATTTGGTTTTGGACACAATATGATGTCTAGAAGACACATGAGTGTCAATGTCAAGTAGACATTTGAATATACAGGCCTGAAGGAGTCCAGAGGAAGGGAAAGGGCTGGTGTCATATATCTGGATGTTCTCAGGCATAGAGAAGATACTCAAAGTCACAGGCATGTGTGAAGATACATCTCTGCAGGAGGTAAGGCACATGTCTGAGACCAAAATCTCCGAAGCTGAATAGATCCCAGATCGCCTGTTAAAATTCCCCTTATAGTAAGACTAACTCATTAATAGTATATGAAATTTAATGAGACTCTAGAAAGTAAGATGGTAAAGAATATCAAACTAGGCCAAGTGAATACAACTGCCTGCCCTTGGCACAGTGTGTAAGAAATTACCTTGAGATGCACTGTCGAAGGACTTGATGAGGGTTTTTACCGTAGGGGTTGGCTCGGAGGAAGTTGAGGACCTTCTACTCAGACCCATCCCTTGCCTTAAGGCTGCCAAATCTCTCTCAACAGCATTCATGTAGTTATACACCCGGCCTCGCTCCTCCTCTTGCCTGAAAACAATATTGAAACCAGAGCATTTTTACATATATACTAGAAACTAATACACATTTCCCCTCCCAACTAAAAAGCATTAAAAAGTATCAGTTAAAAAAAAAATACTATCAGTTGAGCTGAGTAAATTACCTGGTCTAATATTCTCATTTGCTTGGTAAATTCCAGGAAAGGATATTAAAATTTTTATATCAGGTTATCCTAAGTAGGTTAAGTAACCATCAGATTCTATTTTCATCTGAGTAAGTGTAAGGTGAGGACATCAGTAATCAATTAGCAGTGAAATGGGAGGCAGGCTGGCCAAAGATCCTGACTCAGAGCTAGGGATCTCGAGGCTCTGTGCTGCTGAGAGGACCCAGCCCTTCTCAGGAGAAATCTGGGAATTCATCAGTACATATGGATAATCTATGCTGACTCTATCTAATATGCTGTGCATAGACACAGAAATACAAAGAAATGAAATCAAAGCTCATACTCATAAAATTTAAAAAAAACTGCTGTAGGTGCCAAAAACAATTTCTACAAAGGAAAAAAAAACCTGAGCCCATATCAGTAACATGAGTCTGCTAGATGCTCAGTGTGATGGATCATGAGTCATCTAAAACATCGATTCCCTTTTATTTCTGGCCAGCTCTAATTCACGGAGCTGACTAACACAAAAGTTCTCATCTGGAAGGAGATTTCACTTGCAGAGTTTGTACGTCACATAACTAACAAGTTCACAGGTGGACAAAAATTAAGCCAGTCCTTAGGAAAATTTGTCTTTGGTGGCCATTTGGCACTTCTGACCGAGTTTTTTGCCTCAAGATATATCAGAGGGTCTCACGTTCAGCAGTTTTAATAAAGAATCGACAACAGCAGAATTGACAACAGGATCAACAATTATCAAACTTTTTGGTCCTAGAGCCCCTTTCCACTCTTAAAAATTATTGAGGATTCCAAAGAGTTTTTGTTTATGTGGGTTATATCTATTGATATTTACCAAATTATTAATTAAAACTAAGAAATACTTAAAATATTTAATTCACCTAAAAACAAAAATAAACCCGACTTATTACCATAATTAACATTTTTTAATAAAAGATGACTATATTTTCCAAAACAAAAAAAATACAAAGAATAGCAGTGTTTTTACATTTTTGCAAATCTCACTAATGTCTCGCTTAATAGAAGACTGCTAGAGTCTCATTTCTTCTGTATTCAATCTATGGCAATATGAAAAAAAGCAGGCCTCACATAGATATGTAGTTAGAGAAGGGAAGAATATTTTAACGATATTAAAATAGATAATTGGGGCTGGCCCCATGGCACAGCAGTTAAGCGCGTGTGCTCCGCTGCTGGCGGCCCAGGTTCGGATGCCGGGCCCACACCAACACTGCTTGTCAGGCCATGCTGTGCCAGCATCCCACATAAAGTGGAGGAAGATGGGCACGGATGTTAGCTCAGGGCCAGTCTTCCTCAGCAAAAAGAGGAGGATTGGCATGGATGTTAGCTCCGGGCTGATCTTCCTCACAAAAAAATAAATAAAATAAAATTAAAGTAAAATAAAATAAAATAAGATAAGATAATTGTGTAGGGCCGGCCAGGTGGCATAGCAGTTAAGTTGGCATGCTCTGCTTTAGCAGTCCGAGGATTGCCGGTTTGGATCCTGGGCGCAGACCTACGCACCGCTTATCAAGCCATGCTGAGGCAGTGTCCCACACAGAGCAACTAGAAGGATGTACAACTATGACATACAACTATCTACTGGAGCTTTGGGGAGAAAAAAAGAAAAAAGGAAGAGGATTGGCAACAGATGTTAGCTCAGGGCCAATCTTCTTCAAAAAAAAGAAAAGGGTAAAATTGATAATTGAGCTTTTTAGATAACCATGGCTATTCTTCCTTGATACTACACCAAAATGCAATAAGTGGTAGTTACTTAAAAGTTAGCTGCAATGTGGAATCTGAAACCACATGAATGAACTTTTCCTACTCTGTCCATTAAAATCCTCTGGGCTGTCTTGTACTTTGAATGGATCTTTTACCCATACGTGATTGTGCATTGGTCAGAGAGAAAATATTGGTTCACTGAGTTACATGGATTTTCCAAATGTTGACTCCTGTCATTATACAATTTATTTCTTAAAAGTCACATTTGTTAGTATCACCAATGATCTCATCAGAAAACTCTTTAAGTATGGGAAGCTGCCAAGCTCATAATGACAGATTCAAGTTTTCCAAAATCCTACCATTTACCTGACAGCCCACATTTTATCCTTGGCACCAAATACTCAGTTGTTTTCCTTGAAGTGACAGACTCTCTGAATCATTTTCAAGAAATAGCCACCAAATACTAAAGTCTGAATATCCATAGTTTGTCTGTCAGTCACTCTCAAATAAAAATGGTGTTCCATGACAAAGAAAACAGCTCAAACTAAAACAATCACACAGTGCTTTCCTCCAGACAACCTCATACTTGGGTACGTGGACTTCCCACTTCGTCACATAAAATGTTAGAAAGAATATACTCAAGGAATGAGATTTAGTAAAATTAATAATTTACTGCGGGGCCGGCCCAGTGGCCCAAGCAGTTGGGGGCATACGCTCCGCTGCGGCGGCCCGGGGTTCGCTGGTTCGGATCCCGGGCGTGCACCGACGCACTGCTTGGCAAGCCATGCTGTGGTGGTGTCCCATATAAAGTGGAGGAAGATGGGCATGGATGTTAGCCCAGGGCCAGTCTTCCTCAGCAAAAAGAGGAGGATTGGCAGATGTTAGCTCAGGGCCGATCTTCCTCACAAAAAAAAAAAAATAATGTACTGCTTCATCAAGGACATCTTTAAGTAAAACCTGCATTGTTCAAAATGTGTGTGCATGGTGGCGAAGAGTACGATGACTACAAGTATAATCTGGTGCCAAGGCCTTGAGTCGTCAACGGTTTACACTTGCTCTTCAGGATCAGTGCAGAAGTCAACACAATGAAAAGGACAAACAACATGTCAGCTGTATTATGAAAATAGTCTGACTTCACAGATCCCCTGAAAGGGTCTTCAGGGTCCCCAGGGGTCCACAGACCTCAGTTTGAGAACCGCTGCTCTACAAAATGCTACTTCTTTCAGGAGGCACTTCCTTTAAATATGTGTCTCAAAGACTAACAAGCTTTCAGGATATCTCATTTAAGCCTTACAACAACACTGTAAAGCAAATAGCACTGTCTCCATTTTAAAGATGAACAGACTGGAAGCCCTGACCAACATCAAACAGCTAGTAAGAGGCAGAGCTGGACGAGAGCCAAGTCCGTCTGCCTCCAGAGTCCACGTCCTTAATCAAGAGGTTATAATCTCAAGAAAAGTAACGGGGCTAGAATGTGGGGACAGAGGAAAGCAGAGAACCATAATGTACCCTTGTGCCACGGACCATTCTGGCCCCTCCAGATTTGTTGGTTATGGATACTGATAGTGCAATCTATGGATCTTTCAGAGTTGCTATTTTACAGGTGTGATGAAATGAGGCCAGAAATGTTGAGTAACTTCCGCTAGATCCAAAGTCAGTCTTCTCACCATACCACGTCACGAAATTGCGACTTAAATGTTCTCTGTTGAAACATAAGTACACAACTGGTTTCTCAAAACATACTTGCGTGACTTTATTTCCTCCAATTCTTTTGTGAGTTTCTCATTTTTTTCTTGAGCCTCATGCAACCGGCGCTTCAGATCACCAATCTCCTCTTGGGCTTCAGATTTAATGTCATTTGCAATGACCACTGCAGTCTGGAGATCAGCTTGAAACTGCCGCCATTCCGCAGATTCTTCCTATATTAAATGACTAAATTTTTATTTCCAACAGAGAGCAATACAGACTTATTTAAAAACAATAAAATGTGTTTGTAGATTGCTGTACTGCACTGTCACATGTGATGATTAATTTCTTTTAAATCCCCAAGAATTGCTATTACCTGTTTCCAATAGGTAATGCAATTATTGTCACTGAACTTGTTCTTAATGAGGAAAAGATTTTTTTAGCTGATCTGTCTACTGAGGCATCGAGCACTCAAAGAGTGCTCAATAAATATTCATGATGATAATGTCAAGCCTCCCTTCCTCATGCAAGTTTCAAAGTAAGTCTTATGAAAATAAACACATGGTCCAAAATTTACAGTGCTTTACCTCTGAAAAGCTCAAGACAGTAGATAAACGGTGTGTGACCCATACTGCAATATTTTACAGTAAAAAACTATAAATATCCTGACGTCAGAAACTAACAGGAAAAAAAAATCAAAAGTAAAGGAAAAGGAAGAGGAAGCCAGAAGAAAAACATTAAATTTAATCTAGGCAGACAAAAATCATACAAAGAGAGGCGCTAAGGAACTATACGGCCCACTGCTTCCCACAGCCATGAAGGATGTGGGTGTGGCTGGGTGGGGAAGCCTCCCCAGGGTATCACCAACACCAGGCCACAGCTGCCCACTCCCAGGCGCAGCACCTGCCACCCCAAAGCAATGTTCTGACACCATGAAGGCAGCCTGAACAACTGAGGCAAGACCCAAACTATGAAATTAACTTCACCCTACCCTCTGTATCTGAGCAGCATTGCCGTTGGCAAGCCAATCAAATCCACGGAAGACAGAAAACTTATGAGAAAACAGATTAGTTTGGGACACTTTATAATCAAGAGCTAAACTTTCTTTCCAAAATATAACACTTGCTTCCTAAATCCATCTTTCTAAAATTATCACTCATAAATCACTAGCACATTCTTCTATCCAGAATCTAGCACCACTCCCAAACTGAAATGATGGGATTTGCTTTCTGCCCAAAGCCCAGTGGGATCAATATTATAACTGTATCTGAAGCTTAAAATGAATGATAACATGGTCAATGACTACATGGTACTTAACTTTCAGAAAACTGTTTTCAAATGAGACAATACGTGAAGATTTATCCTACCCGAAGTCTCCTGTGGAGCGTCTTGATTTCTCTTTCCATGTCATGCTTTTGGTCCTGGAGTTTTTTAACTGTATCTGAAAAGACCACAAAAGTTTAAATATTTATTCTTAGAGCTGCATTCAAAAGGAATAATATACAGTATGACATTTTTAAAAAGTCATCTTGCCCAAAGACTTTTTATTTTTAATACAAAACTTATATACATATATGTATATATAAAGCTGGATAAAAAATAAATGATACAAAACATGGGGGGAAAAACTGGCCAATTTTGGTAGCCAGTAGTTAACTTCCTCCCATTCATCACCCCAAAATTATTCAACAAAGTTGGGTCTACGAAACAAAAAGAGTTCAAAATTTACTCATTAATTCAAAAAATGTCTCATAAGTACCTACTTTGTACCAGGCTTTTTTCTAGGTGCTTAAGACATAAGGGAAAGGAAAGAAAGATATACTTCTTATCCTTTTAGAGACAGAAAAAAGGATGCTTTCATATGCAAAGAATTAAACTTTAAAAGTTTATCTCTACACAAGCTGCTTCAGAACTCATTTAACCTGGGCCGGCCCCATGGCTTGGCGGTTAAGTGCGCGTGCTGCGCTGCTGGCGGCCCAGGTTCGGATCCCGGGCGCAAACCGACACACCACTTCTCCAGCCATGCTGAGGCCGCGTCCCACATGCAGCAACTAGAAAGATGTGCAGCTATGACATACAACTATCTACTGGGGCTTTGGGGGGAAAAATAAATAAATAAATAAATAAATAAAAATTAAAAAAAAAAAAAAGAAGAACTCATTTAACCTGGAAACCAGGCATCAAATGGGCCATCCAGTTTGGTTAAGAGTAAAGTAGACACCAAGGTGAGTGAGTCCAATACACTGATCCGTATCTCCAGAGGCAAGGATGACTCTGGAACCAGCATGATTGATTCTCAGGTGACATTTTAGGCCACAGCCATCTTAGACTAACCATAAAATCCCAGATTTCATTCATTTCTTTTGTTCTTATCCTTTTCTCTTTACCAACCTCTACATTCATGGCTACAGAATTCACATAATCACTATTTTTAAAAGGACATTCTTCTACACCCAGCACTACATATTTATTACTGTCACGTCTTCTTATTACTCCTTTTAAATAGAAGGGAAGCTGGCAGCCAGTGGACATATTTAGGCAGAATAAAGTGCACTAAAAGTGTCTCTAGGTAATCTGATTTAAGCTTTACAAATCACAACTGTATTTCCACTTTGTAACATAAAGTATTAAAAATGACAACAGGCTTTTCCTCCTTGGAAACAAAGGAGTCTGTGCTTAGGTCCTTGTTTTGAAGACTGCGATCCAGCCCAATTAATGTCACACAGAAGGGCAGCATCAGTCTTCAACTGGAGCCTCTCAATGAGGTTTTCCTCCTCTTCAAAGTCTTTCTAGTGTGAGGGACACTGCCATCTACTGTCTTCAACCCAAAAGCAACATTAAACTCTATCAAAGAACAGAGGAACTACTATTATCATCTCATTTTTTAATTACAAATTATAACTCAATTTTACAATGTTGCTTTTATTCTAGAAATCAGGTAAATTGCTATTCTTATTGTTATTGTTATTAGGCCAACTTTGCTCTGAACAATTCTGGGCACTGTCCTGCCCGATTAATAATGGGGTTCATAATCTTTTCACCACCAAGACTTACCATCCCTGACAAATCAAGATCAACTAGCCTCCACTCTGGCTCCAGTTATATACCTATACACTCATGCAGATGTTACAAGGCAGCTACCACAGGCACAGGATCAACCTATGACCCTCGGGGGTGTAAAATAATGAAAGTTCACAAGCAACCTTTCTTGTTCTCCAAATCTCAGAAAACCCTCAGGTTACTGATATCCCAGTGCTCAATCAGACTCTTGTATCTGGTCAAGCGCCTCCAAATGACATCAGGTGTAATTTTTAGAGGAAGGGAGAGGACAAAAGTAACCAACAAGTTAAAATACCATGCCTCGGGGACAGGCAAGAGAGGCAGGCAGTACATCCAGCCACCAGGCCACAGCTTTATCCCCAAACCAGAATTCTTGATGCAGGAAGGGGACACAGGTGTGTTTCAAATGAAGCATTTACTACTTATATTTTTGTTTATTTTCAATTCACTAATTTTTACTTTTCCCCCAAAAAAGTAGACATAACTTTTTTCCCTTGATTCTAAAAGTAATACATGCTCACAATAAGAAGTTTGGAAAACAGAAAAGGGTGACAAAAATAAGATTACCCATTATTTGCATTTGGCACATATCCTTCCAGATTTCATGTGTGTGTATTTTTTTAAGAAAAAAGGATTATACTATTTATACTGCTTCAAAAGCCTTTCCACCTAGCAATAGACAATGGACACTTTTATCAATAAATACAGGTCTGTGGCACCATTTTGATGGCCACATTAGTATTTCATCAGTTGGGTATATCATGACTCATTTGAGCAAACTCCTATGAACCTCCTATTAACGAACAGTTAGAATGGTTCAAATTTTTGTTATAAACATGACAAATGTCTTTATACAATTGTTCAGATATTACTTGAAGATACATTTCCAGAAGTGGAAGAAGTGATGCAGGACAATTTGAAACTATCGACAGGATCCGAGTTAATCCAGTTAGAAGGCTCTAACTCAAGAAAGCAGCTTTTTTTTTTTTTTGAGAAATCACCCACTTACAGAATTTATTGTGTAGAACACACTGAAATCAGTATTTTTTAAGGAACACCATTATGCCTGGCCACCACTTCAGGGTAATGTTATATGTAAAACTTTCATGGTTTTTAATTACAGAAGTAATACACATGGCTCACACTCTACCCTCCTCTGACTTGCTTTATTTCATCTACGGCTTTTCTCTGTGCCTGTACACACAGACCTGCCTCATTTATCTTCATTGCTGAAATGGCAGCCATAGTAGGGACGCACTGTGCACGTGGGTTATTAACTAAATCTCAACTGTTGAAAATACAGGTAGTTTCCAAGTTTTTGTGGTAACCAGCAATTCTACAACAAGCTTCCCTATCTATGTATACATTTGCAAACTTCTAAGAATATTGCTGAAGAGTAGACTTCTGCAAGTGGATTGCTAAATCACTGTCGTACTTTTAAAATTTTGATCAACACATTTCAAAAAGGCTGCAGCGGGCCGGCCCCGTGGCTTAGCGGTTGGGTGCGCGCGCTCCGCTGCTGGCAGCCCGGGTTCAGATCCCGGGCGCGCACCAACGCACCGCTTCTCCAGCCATGCTGGGGCCGCATCCCACATACAGCAACTAGAAGGATGTGCAGCTATGACATACAACTATCTACTGGGGCTTTGGGGAAAAAAGATAAATAAATAAATAAAAAATTTTTTTAAAAAAAGGCTGCAGCAATCCATACTCCTTCCAATAGTGTATGAGAGGACCCTCTTCTCCTCTCTTAGACATTATCAATCTTTTTAATTTTTCACAGCTGCTAAGTGAAAACTGACATCTTGTTTTACTGAGTGAGTTTCTTTGCTTTTTAAGTGAAGTCAAGCATCTTTTTGCATCTTTTTCTGACTTATCTATTCATACACCTGGTTTAGCTAATGGATTATCCTAGTCTTACTGATGTATAGAATCTGTCCATATATTCGATATGTGTTACAAATATTTCTCGCAATATCATTTATTTATGGTACTTTTGCTGAACTGAAAATTTCAATTGCATATAGTTTAATATGAGACATTTTTCCTTTATGGCTTCCCTGTGTCCGCCTTTAAGGCTTTTCCCACCACAGAATTATACAACTCTCCTCTATTTCCTTCTGCTACTTCTCTAATCTCGAGCCACCCTTGCTTGCCACTGTCACTAGTGTTCCACATAAAAGGGCAAGACCTGTGTTCGATGTCAGGCCCTAGCCCCCATCTCAGGAACTACAGAGGGCAGGCAAGGTGCTATATTTAACTGCAAGCATGCACAGAGCATTACTACGCAAATAGTAAGTGGTTGATAAAATCGTGACTGACGGTTATATCTCCTGAGCCAGACCTGAGATCTTGCTGGTCCCACCATGCTCAACACCAATCAGCTTTGGTTTGGGGAATGCTGGTGAAGTCATTAACTGTACTTCTTCGGGCTCAGTTAAGCAGCTTCCTTCTACTGTTTCTCTTTAAAGCTCTTTTAAGATATTAAAATGTCTAATAAGTCCTGGTTGGGCTTTCTTACTTATAAAGAACAAGAATAATTAATCCTAGTGACTTCTGCATGTTTCTCAACAATTGTAGAAGCCAGTGTTCTATCCACAGGCCTCTCCTCTCAATATAACAACTGGCTAAAGGCTCTGCAGATGACACACGCCTACAGGAGGCTCCTGTCTGGACATACAAGAGGGGAATGGGCAGTTTCAACTGAGGAAACAGGTGTGTGCATGTGTGCATGTGCATGCATGTGTGTCCATTTCACTGCTGGGCCAAACTGCCTTTCCCTTTGCGTGGTCTTCTCTTCAAGACAACACGGCAGCCTGTGGTTACTACAGGCATGGCTCCACTTCTCTTTCTGATACTAAAGTCATGCTAGGAGCCACTGGAACCATTCCCCACCTCATTTAGAAAAGAGTTCAAGCCCAGTAGCAGTCTGGGGGCAAACACCAGAGCCCACACTCTAGAGAGGAGAGGGTGGTACAGGGCTTCTGGTAATCCTTTACACCACGGCCTGAAACTGCTGCTGGTCCCAGTCCCTATGATCCCTGAGGTGAAGGTTTTAGTCCCCTCCATTCCCCAAAGTTTTGCTGGGAACATCATTACTCAGAGCTCTGGTGTTCTCCCGGACTGTACGTTTTTCTATTCTATTTGATTTCTCCATATCCCCAGTTCCTGATTCATATGTTCCAGAAATTACTCAAAATCGTTGATCTACTGATAGGACCCTTCCCCTGTTTTCTATCTTGCTTTAGGTTCATCATAATTTTTATATTTCTCCTGCCATGTCACTAGGACTTTGGGAGGGAGAGGAAGTACATGTATGACCTTAGACCATTGTCTTCAACTGGAAGTCTTAACAGTATTCACTGAGTGAGTCTTTACATCAGATCTTTCTAGCTTAGATGCTAAATCCAAGCACTACTGCCAAGTACTTGCACCAGGTCTAAGCAATATGGTACTGATGTTATCTGGGAGGCCGTCTGGAACTCCAACTACGTGTTACGCCATGTGATACTGTCCCACAGATCACTGAGGCTCTACTCATTTTTTTCCATCTTTTGTCCTCTGCCCTTCAGACTGGATAATGTCTACTGATTGATCTTCAAGTTCACTGTCTCTTCTGTATCTCTAATTTGCTGTTTAAATGATTTAGTAAACTTTTTATATTAGCTGTTAAATTTTTCAGTTCTAGAATACCCACTAAGTTCTTTTTTTTACAGTTTTTATTTCTCTGCTGAGATTTGCTATTTCATTCATTACGAGCGTATTTTCCTCTATGTCCTGAGTACAGTTACAATAGCTGTTTTAAAATCCTATCCACTAATTCCAAAGTCAGGATTATTTTGGGGTAAATGAGGAGTGACTACTAATGGGTACAGGGTTCTTTTTGGGGTGATGAAAAAGTTCTAAAATTGACTATGGTGATGGTTGCTAAAACATTCCACAGAAGAAAATCTCAATTTCTCAATGAACAGTATTCCCCGTCATCAAGTCCCCTATATCAAGTGCTGACTTAGCATGCATCCCAATGCTAGAATCCTCTACGGAAAAAAAAATAACTCCTATCAGACTATGGAGATCTAACAACTAAATGTAATGCATGAAACTTGTTTGGATCCTAGTTGCTATAAAAGACATTCTGGGGACAGCTGGGAAAATCTGAATATGGGCTACTAGATGACACAAAGGAATTATGCCTAATTTTACTAGATGTGATAACAATATCGTGGTTATAAGAAGAACATGCTGAAATATTTAGGAGTTAAGTGTCATGAGGTCTACAACTTACTGTCAGCTAGTTCAGTTAAAGACACACACACAGAAGGTAAATATTGCAAAATGTTAACAATGTCAAATCTAGGCAATGGGTGCTAACTATAACAGTCTCACAGTATTTTGGTAGATTTGAACTTTTCATTTCAAAAAATGAAGAGAGAAGCTACATGGCTAAAAAAAATTTATTCAGGATTTTCAGCCACTTTATAATCAAAATCCACATAATGTTAATGTAGTTTTTATTTTGGGAATGATTTGTAAAATTTCACCCCAGGAATCCTTATCATCTAACACTTTTCTAGCTATTACCCCAATTACCACAAGGTGTCACTCTTTCCATATTAAAATCAAAAGTCTTGCAAGGGAAAAGGCTATTATTATCAGTATTAAATGGAAAATGCACTGAACTTCCAAGTTAATCTGAAAAACTTTAGAACCTCTTATATTTAGGTAGTAAAATTAGATAAATCCTCTCAGTTCAGGGACAATGAAATAAAAACTAGATATAAATGTTAAACTAAAAGTTTTTAAAGCTTTAGACAAGAAAATTCACCTCTATGACTATCACCGTCTCCAAGAGCTCCACAGTCCCGCAGTCAACTACTTTAGTATTCAGATGCCTTAGAATGTTCCAAATAACCCTGGGGTCAGTCTACAGATGGTGGGTCAACTAGCCAGAGCTCAGAACTGCTGCAAGACACGTTTAGGGCTTCTGCAAATGGCCCACTCTCTTCTGGAAACAGTTCAAACCTCCCCATCTCCCCTCCTCTACATCCATAGCACAGGGGATCCGGCTCAATGCCTAGCAATCCTCTATCAAGGAATAATAAACTGTTAGATCTCAAAGGAGCAGTATCCCAAGCCAGAAGTTTAAAAAGGTTTAACCAATGCATCCAAAGGGTTACTCCCATTCTCCTATCCTCACTTGAATATCATTAAAGTATATTACAACTGAAAATTTGTTAACATTTGAGGAATCTAAACGAAGAATACATAACAATTTTTTAATGTATTATTTGGAAATAATTTCAAACTTACAAAAATGTGCAAAAAATATAAGGAACACCAAACAGCTTTTCTTAGATCTACCTACTGTTAACAGTTTATCCATCTGTTTGATCATTTGCTATCTTCTATCCCTGTCTGTCTTCCTCTACCTATTTCTCCCTAATTTTTTCCTGAACCCTTTAAGGATACACATCATGGTCCTTTACCCCTTAATATTCAGTGTGTGGTTCCTAAGAATAGGGACATTCTCTTATACAAACACAGTATAGTTATCAACTTCATAAATGTATACTGATATGTTTATCTAATCTACTATCCATTCCAATTTTGTCATAACATCCTTTTTAGCATGTTCCCCTATAGTACTGGAACCTAGTCTACACACAGCTATTGCATTTAATCGTCATGTCTCCTTAGCCTCCTTTAATTAGGAACTTTTCCATAGCCTTTGCCTTTTATGACATTGGCATTTTTGAGGAATAGAGCACCACCCATTCCTGTGTTTTTAGTAAAACATTTCTTATTTTTTGTCTATTTAATGTTTCTTTACGATTAATTGAAGTAATGCCGCTGAGAGAATTACGGCCTAGCCGATACTGTGTCCAGTACCTGACCTCTGTCACTTACATGATCACCCGGTCAAAGTGTTGCCCAATTTTTCCACCATACAATTTCTGGTTGTTTCTTTTTCCTCACTTGCAACATAATAAACAGTCTGTGGGAAGACATTTTAAGATCATGCAAATTCCTGTTCCTCATCAAATTTTCTACATAGAAATGCTTTGTACTATTTTTGCAACTTTTTTATAAGTCTGAAATAATTACAAAATAGTTTTAAAAAATCTTTTATTTTAAAAAGCAAACAAAGCAACTTAAAATCTGAGTTTCAGTTCTACTAGATCATAAAATCTCCATGGTAAGGAGGAAAATCAGACAAATAAACAAATAAAAACCTGTGCCTTAGGCATAAGATTATGAAGGATCAATATTTTTTTTGTCTCAGTATACTTGCAATCACTAGAAGTAGATAATAAATGGCTTTTCCTAAGATCTAGAAAATAATAACCCCATTAGCTTTTCACTTAAATGATTTTCCATAATTAAGCACAGTTTTAAAGTAATGCTTCCACTAATAGTTCTTCTTCAGGAACAAAACACTGCAGTCCAAAGACTATCAACTAACGTGTGAAGTACACTACCATGTACACATTTCTGCTAGCCACTGTGCTACTGCCTTTGAACTACTGCACCAGCCAGAATTACTAATTTTTACTTTGTTATTGAGTGGAAATTATTCCCACATGTTAAAATGGATAGGATAAAAAGGAATGAAAAGTTCCCCCATCACTTACTCTCTAAATCAGAAATAATGAGGTTGTCGTGAAGTTTCACGGCTCGATGTTGTTCCACTTCATCTTCAAGCTCAAAGATGGTTTCTTTCATGTCGCTCCTTTCTGTCTCTTTTTCTTCCAGCTCTGATCTTAATTTTTCTAATGTCATATTCAAATCTTCTATTTGTTTCTTGGCTTCTTCTTGGAAGGCTCTGTATTCATCTTCTACCTACATAAAATTGATAATGCAGCTTAAAAAACTAAGAGTTGTTCTAAGAAATTCTGGAACAGAGGTATACACTGTTTCAAATGGAAGCTAAGTGTGAGTTGTTATGCATGACCTAAAATGACCTGGTAACAACCATTGAAAAGTATGAAAAAGCACTCTACAATAATATACAACTTTATGTATTATCCTTAAGCCTAATTTGTTGCTACATCACTGACTGAAATTATATTGACATATCATTGAACTTAACTACATTATTTAATAACAACAATAAACAAACACATAGAGACAGAGATTGGACTGGTGGTTACCAGAGGGGAAGGGGGGAGGGAGGAGGGCGAAAGGAATAATTCAGCACACGTGTGTGGTGATGGGTTGTAATTAGTATTTGGGTGGTGAACATGATGTAATCTATGGAGAAACAGAAGTATAATGATGTACACCTGAAATTTATACAATGTTATAAACCAGTGTTACTGCAATAAACAAAAAATTTAAAAAAAAACCAAAACTACATTATTTATGAGGAAATTTTGGAAATTTTCCCTTCTCCAAAGTGTGGACTGAAAGCATGCATTTGATTAATGATTAACATGCTCTCCCACAAAGCCGAAGTCTGATTTGTGAAAATTTTAATATCAAATTAAAAATGGAAACAAAAAATTCTCAAATATTGTCACTGCAAAAGTATTACTTCACAGTGCCCCCCAATATATACGCTCCAACAAATAACACACCTCCTAAATTGTATCTCTAAAAGTCATCACTAAAAAAATTAAGGTCTAAATTATTCAAATATTAGGCCAAAGATATACTAATATTTTGATATACTATACAAAATCATTGCACCAAAATAGGAAATAAAATGTAAGACAATAATCAGATAACTCATGCAAATAAACATGCATCAGCAATCATGTGGGGCACAGAGCCCTGACCGGAGTGCCTGCAACCCTGGGCTGCAGTTCTGACTGAGCCCTCACTATTATGCTGCGTGTAAAACAAGGGGACTGGATCAATGATCTCTAAGGTCTCTGCCAGCAACAAACCACAGGCTTCTAAGAAATAGGAGCCTCCACATCCAAAAATATTTTTAACTCACAAAAGAACTCTGAAAACTCCAACCACAACAGGGTAAAAATTAGCAGACACTGATGATCCCACAGACTGGAATACAGGCTCTCTCCATCTTTCTTACACCAAAATACATTAGAGATGAAGATGTAAAATTGCAAGACATGCTCCCTGGGTATACCCAGAACTAGGGACAAATTCTGTTGTTAGTTGTAACTCTAGCCCCATCCTCTCACAGGCAGGATGACAGTAACAAAATGCAAGTAGGTAAGAGACATTATTAAAAGAATACTTTTCACTCTATCCTAATAAAAGAAAACCATTCTCAAGCTTTAAAAAAGATCAGCTTAAAAAAAAGCTAATGACAAAAAAAAACAAAGCTAATGACACACCACACAAGTGATGCTGGGTCTCAGTAAGCATGTTGTGTACTGCATCTGCGTAATGCTAATCCAGAACATTTTATCTACTTAAACAGTACCTTTGCAATGGTGTCCTGCAATCGATTGGCATCATTTCGGGTGTGAGCCAGGTCCTCCTGTAAGCTACTAGCAAAAGTCTCTGCTTTTTCTTTGTCCAGCCTGACACTCTCCAGGAGGTCCTGAATATCAGATTTGTCTCCAGAGTTATGGATAGAATACAGCTCTGCCACTTTCTGCTTTTCATTCTCCAACTGGGCCTTCACGCGGTTCATCTCTATCTGGTCACTGGCCACTGTGGCTTTGTACTCCTCTAATGTGGCTGCCAAGGCTGCTTTACCCTTCTGCTCAGACTCAATAATTCGCTCCATATGGTGATTTCGTTCTTTGAGTGCCCCTATCATTTCTTGAGCTTCCTTGTTGTCTTGTTCTGCCATCTTCAAAGTATTGCTTAAATGCTGCTGGACACCCAGAAGCTGCTCTCGTTCAAAACGGGCATTCTCAGCTAGATCCATGTAACGCTGTTCCAATTCCATATAGCGTCCACTTTTCACATCTTCATCTATGACATAAGAAATGTGATGTTCATCTAGAAGGGAGCGGAAATATTCAATCTGTCGGCTAAAGTGTTCCAACTTATCACTCTGCTGACATAAAGACTCCATGAGAATAACCTTCTCCTCTCCGAGCCTTTCATTTTCACTATTCAGTTCTTGGGTAATCTGCTGTAAATCAGCTAGCTCCTGCAGAGTTGCCTGAAGTTCCTCACTCGTACTGTGTTGGTTCTCTTCCATCTGGTGGATCCGCTCCGTCAAGCAAGCAACAGACACTTCACTGGCATTCCCACTGCTCCCCTTCCGAGAGCGCTCTATGCTCGGAATGCCTTCTGACTCTGAGGACGAGGGTGCGTCTAGGGCGTCATCGCTTGATGTGAGGGGCTGGTACACCTCACTGCACTCGCTGTCTAGATTGTCCATAGAGTTACTGTGCTGATGGTCCATGAGGGTGTTTTCATCCTGACTCAAGAGATCCTCCACTGACCCAGGGGCAGAGCCTTCCACTGAAGAAGTCAGAGTCCCTCCTCCATCACTCTGGTTACCAGGGGTGATTTCTGGGCTCAGGGACTGATAGCCAAACAGTTTTTCAGAGTTGTCTAACCTCTGCTCTAGGGAAAAGCCCAATGCATTCAACCTATCCTTTAACATTCTGTTTTCATTTTTCAGCTGGTTGAGTTCTTCACGGATGGCAGTATTCTGTTCCTGTAACTGCAATAAAGTGGACTCAACATCAGTCGGCTGGTGAGCAATAATGGCTTCCTTCTCAGATTTTTCATCACCCTCAGAATGATCCTCATTAACGCCCAGCTGAGCCCGCATGTCTCGGAGTTCACTTCTTAAATGTAAAATTTCCACGTCTTTGGTTTTTGCCAGTGTGAGAAGATCTTTCACTTTGGCTTCCAAAGCAGCTTTGTCACTGATCTGATTGTCCGATTTAGACTTGCTCATGCGAACATCACATTCCGTGGCAGTGCGACTTCGGGAACGTTTAGCCAATGCCACGTCATTAGTTCCCTGACCTGCAGAAGGTAGTTTTTTGCTCTGGTTTAGTCGGGTACGTTCACGTAATCTTTCTCTAGTAGAACTGGATTCTTTATTACCTGTGGAAGTGCTCCGCTTGGTTGAAGAACTAGTGCCTACATGTTTAAAACAAAGAATTTAAGGCAAAAATATTAGCAATAAAAAGGCACCTACTTTATGCCCCAGGTCTAATGAGATGAAATCTAGGGATCTACACAGTGACTATGACCTATATTAATCTTGCCTTATGGTCTGGTTACTGTAAAATTCAGTTTCCTCAAAACGAGAAGATAATTCATCTTTTAATTACCATGGAAAAAAAAAGGTATACACTGAATTGTACACTTTAAAAGGGTGAATTTTATGGAAGGTGAATTGTATCTCAATAAAGCTGTTATATTAAAAAAATAGTTAGACACATTAACTTGAATTCTAAACCATGGCTTTAAACAGATGGCCAGGGCATAATATTCTAGGGCACGCTAGACAAAGATGATGCTAGGATAAGCCAGTCAGGTAGCAAACTAACTGCAGAAACAGATGATAAAGGAAGATCGCAGATGAGCAAGAAGGGAAACGAAGCCTCCAGACAAAACAAAAATCTAAGCTACCTACAATAAACACAAAAAATATGATCAAAGTAAATGCAAAAAGTTTTCACACAACAGAATGCCACATAAACAGAATACCAATAACAATAATTATAATAATAGCAGCTGACATGTACTTAGCACTTACTACACACACACACACACATTAACACTTCCTTACACAAGCCTCATTATTATCATCTTGTTTTACAAATGAAGAAACTCATGCAGAGATGTTAAATAATTTGCCAACATCCCACAGGTAATAAATGAATGAGCCAAGATTTAAACGCAGGCAGGCAGTCTGGCTCCAGAATCTGCAACTTAACCAGTAAGCTATACTGCCTCTCTAAATGTTAGAAAACGATGATGCATTAATGCTAAATAATGATGGCACGTTAATCAAATAAGCTGCATGAATCACACTATTACTTAACTGTTAAAATTTTAAACCTGAAAAGAACTGACATGATCATATGTTTAACATAAAAAGAACAGGAATATGTTTAAATACCTATAAACACTTAAGAAATAATTATAATATTTTTTACTTCAAAAAATAAGATCTAGACCTAATCAATAAGTATTTTTAAAGAACCTACTGGTTCTTTATGTGGCAGGCATCAGGCTGTAGAGGTAACAGGGAGCAAAAGGTCTATGTGATATAGGAAGATAGCCACTAATTTTTCCAGGGATCAGGTGTGGAGCAGGGCAGGGAATTCTGGCTGGCCAAAAGACAGGCAAAGATGAGGAAGTAGAAATGAGCATGGCACCCAGAAAGGAAAAGTAAGGTCACACAGTTAATGGAATCAGCAAGAGAAAGTTTCTATAGGGCCCTGAACACCAGAGCAAATTCAGTGAGTCACAGCAATAAATGTTCAATAAATGTTCTTGAGCAGGGAAGAAACATAAGGAAAGAGCATTTTTATGGAAACTGATCTAGAGAATGCTAAGTGAAACATATGAGGAAGAAGGAAGACCAGTGAAGGAGGAATGAGGGCAGGCAGTACAGTAAAAGTACAGGAGGGCCGACATTGGGAGTAAGTCCTAGATCTCCATAGGAACAGAGAAGGGTAATAAATCGGGAACAGGTTTCAAAGGCAAAAGTAACAGGATGAGGAGAAACAATTGCAAATGGAGGCCAAAACAGGAAAAAGATGGTATAACATTTTCCCCCAATATGAACTCTCTTCCCAATTTCTGTAAATGGTACCACCATCCTTCTTATCTAAGCCAAAAACCATTCTAAGAAAGAAAAGATCTGTGCATGTCTGAAAGACAAAAGGAGCCAGTAACAAGCATAGGGATTGATAATGCCCCAAAAGGAAAGCAGAGGTAAGGAAACAAGAAGAAAGGAAGAGACAGAACATGAAGAAGAAAAGCTCCCCTTCTGGGATTATTGTGACAAGTGAGTAGACAGAAGAATTTGAGATACGGACAAGTGAATTGGTCTTAGGGAAGTCATCAGGAATAAGTAAAGATAGAGCAGATGAAGAATTAAAGATGCTGTTACGGGCTGAACTGTGTCCCTTAAATCCATATGTTGAAGCCCTAACCCCCACTACCCTCAGAATATGACTGTACTTGGAGACAGAGTAATTAACTTAAGGACGTAATTAAGTTAACAAGGGCTTGTTAGCCCTAATCCAATATGACTAGTATCCTTATAAGAAGAGATTAGGACACAGACACAGATACAGAGACAACCATGTGAGGACACAATGAGAAGGAGCCATCTATGAGCCAAGGAGAGAGACCTCAGAAGAAACCAAACCTACTAACATTTTGATCTTAGATTTCCAGCCTCCAGAATACAATTATTTGTTGCTTAACAATGGGGATACGTTCCGAGAAATGCGTCCTTAGGTGATTTTGTCGTTGTGTGAACATGATAGAGTGTACTGACACAAACCTAGATGGTATAGCCTACTACACATCTAGGCTATATGGCTAATGTTATGAGACCACTGTCATACATGCAGTCCATCATTAACCGAAACATCCAGCTCATGACTATAGCAAGAAACTGAATTTCTGTTGTTTAAGCCACCCAGTTGTGGTTATTTTGTTATGGCAGCCCAAGCAAACAAATACAGATGCACAAAGTTGTACTGGGACAATAGATCCAGGGGTGTGATAACTGAATTCAGCCTTGAGAAGACAGGTGGCATTGGTCAGCATGGAACCACATAAGCAAACACATGGGATCTCTCCCACTAAATTCTAAAGGCTGTAAATAGGAAGAGATGTAGATGGTATACGAGTATTTAGTTTTCCTCTAACCACACAAGCTGGAGTACTAAAGGTGGTGATAACCTCAGGCTTGAGAGTAAAAGACCTAAGGTTCAGTCCTTGCTCCACCATCAGCTTTGTGGCCTGGTACAAAACGGGCACTCAATAAATATTTACTGGGAAATGAATGCATGTCCTTGGGCAAGATACTTAACCTTTCTAAGTGTAGCTTTCTCATCTCTAAAGTGAGGATAATAATAGCCTCAACCTCACAGGTCTACAGAGAGGATAAAATGGAATAATGGCTATAAAGCACAAAGTAAGAACTTACATGTTTCCTCCTGGGGATCATACCACATTGCTATTATAATTAACAGTGGGGCATGACCTGGGACAGAAGGAAGAATCCACAGAAGGCCGAGGCAAGAGAGAGAACAGTAGGTAAACTTGAGCTTGGAAAAAGTCTAATACACAAGAGAAGGGCTAACAGCCTAAATAAAGATGACAAAAGAAGGTCTGCTATAATTTTTGCCAATTTGCTTTCATAAGCTTTATCACAAACACATAATCTTATGCTTACTGCAAGTTTTAAAGTTTTTTCTATAAGCGTGAGAAGTAAAATATGACAGCATTACTCCTTGGACTATAGGATGAGTTAATTTACAGACTCCATCAAATCTAAAGACAAACTGCTGCTAATGAACGAAGAAGAATGGGAGAATGGGAATGAATGGATCTAGGATTGGTCATCAAAGGCTGCCAACATCATGGAAAGAGAGACAACAAGAAATAACGTGCCTCCTGATGGATGGATAACTATCACCTAGGAAGGAGTCCTGAAAAAAAAGAAACCTGATTAAGGCTCTAGATCCAATGACACTTACAGTAAACAGAGAACAAAGGAACATGGTCAAGGACATCATGGGGATGTGACATCAAAATCCAGATCATGGTCTCACTCATATGTGGAATACAAACCAACACATGGACAGAGAAAACTGGACTGTGGTTACCAGGGGCAGTGGGGGTGGGTGGTGGGCACAAGGGGTGAAGGGAGTCATATATATGGTGATGGACATACAAAAATGTACAACCCAAAAATTTCACAATGTTAGAAACCATTAAAATATCAATTAAAAAAAAAAAAAAAAAATCCAGATCATGGGAGTTAGCCCGGTGGCATAGTGGTTAAGTTCGTGCGCTCCACTTCAGCGGCCCAGCATTCGCAGGTTCGAGTCCCAGGAGCAGACAGACACACCACTCATCAAGCCATGCTGCTGTGGTGGCATCCCATATCCAATATGGAGGAAGGTGGGCACAGATGTTAGCTCAGGACTAATCTTCCTCAGCAAAAAAAGAGGAAGACTGGCAAGGGATGTTAGCTCAGGGCTGATCTTCCTCCCCACCCCCAAAAAAAAAAATCCAGATCATGGGCAACTCTACAGGTCAAACAACCAGTTCTACAAAAACTAAATTGCAATAAAAAAGGGGCGGTAAACCCAGAAATTTAAAAAAGAAGCCTTAAAAGACACATCAGCAATGATTATACACCGACCTTTAAGTGAATCCTGATCCAAACAGACAGTAAATATATATATGTAATATTTATGAGACCGTTGGAAATTTAAATACTTATTGAATAATTTATGATTTGAGGAATGATTATTAATTATTTTCAGGACTGATAATAGTATTGTGATTATATTTTTAAAAGAATCCTTACTTTCAAAGATAAGCATATATTTGTGGATGAAATTATATGACATATGGAATTTGCTTCAAAAAATTAAGGGGGGAAGGTGGGTGTCAAGGAGTTAGGACTGGCCATCACTTGAGATGGGTGATGAGTACACAGGGCTGAAATACCAAATACTTTTGTACATGTTTGAAATTTTCTATAATTAGATAGAATCTCCTAAATACCACTGCACTCTGCCTACTCAAACAAATAGGCAGTTTAACTCTTAGACTGAATGCCACCCATACCTGTGCTAATCTTGGATTTGTTCTCCACAGTGGTCATGGCAGGGGCAGATGCTGAAGATGCTGCAGAAGGGCAGGTGCTCTTCTTTCCTTTAACACCATTAGTCACTGTCACCCCTCCAGCCATTCCAGCTAAAAGGTCATCACTGCTCTTGGTCTAGAAGCAACAGAAAATAACAAATTGACTAGATGAAGCAAGATTAAATAATATTTTGAGACTACAAAAAGCTCTTGACTTTTATATTGAGTTTTAGAGCTCTACAAAGACTTTCTGACAGTTACCAAATAGCACATCACACTGCGCTACAGAAACAGAATCTCTTACCGGTTTATAAACAACCACACATTTCTTTTTTTTTTTTTGAGGAAGATCAGCCCTGAGCTAACATCCGATGCCAATCCTCCTCTTTTTGCCAAGGAAGATTAGCCCTAGGCTAACATCCGTGCCCATCTTCCTCTACTTTATATGGGATGCCACCACAGCATGGCTTGACAAGCAGTGCATCAGTCCACACCCGGGACCCGAACCTGCAAACCCTGGGCTGCTGAAGCAGAGTGCACGCACTTAACCACTGCGCCACCGGGCCTGCCCCCACACACTTCTTTTTAAAATATGAAAATCATATATGTTACCAAAGATTTTACGGAAGCCCACTGTGTGCCCACATATGTCAGATTTAGTGAGGGACAGGAAAAGTAAAGACATCCTCCTTGTTACTCTTCCATCTAGGACATGTCTTATAAACAGAGATCATTTGAGCAATATCACATGGGCTATCTCAGGAAAGTTCTATAATGCCACAAGAAATGCCACCTTGCAATTTCTAGAGAAAAATACCATTGGGAGTCAGAAATAATCTTCATTGCTCTCAAGTGACTCAATGATGGAGCCATTATCTAAAAGAAATTATTCTTAAATTTATTTTCTTACCTTATCTATTTTTTAGTAGTCTAATTTAAGCCAAAATTGACAGGAGATTTTTTTAAGGCCTAATAAATAAAAAACTAGAGATTTTATGGTTAGAGTGAGGGTTAGTCAGCCTAAATGATCACACTACTTGAGAAGGCCCATTTGTAATATTTATTTATATTTTATAAAGATGATTGAAAAAATATGAGCTTTTTAAAAAAACAACAAGCACTCTTGGGCTGGCCCTGTGGCTTGGTGGTTAAGTGCGCGCGCTGCGATGCTGGCGGCCCGGGTTCGGATCCCGGGTGTGCATCGAGGCACCACTTCTCTGTCCATCCTGAGGCCGAGTCCCACATACAGCAACTAGAAGGGTGTGCAGCTATGACATGCAACTATCTACTGGGGCTTTGGGGGCAAAAAATAAAATAAATAAAATCTTTAAAAAAAAAAAAAAAAAACAAGCACTCTGGATAATTAGATTGGGTATAAAATTATTACTTAAGAAAAAATAGTGAAGAAATCTATTTTTACCTCTCCTAGATATGAGAAAGAACATAGAAGAGTTAAAGATCTGTGAAAAGAAAAAGAAAAACTACTTTTTAATAGAAGAACCAAAATGTTTTCTCCCATTAAAGTGAAGACACAAGTTAACCAAGTGACTTACACTGCTTTCTATTTGGAGCCATGTTCAGATAATCATAATAAATTCATTTCTACAAATTAAAAAAATTTACAAATTTCTACAAATAAAAAAATTTCCACTAACATCTGTTGCCAGTCCTCCTCTTTTTGCTGAGGAAGATTAGCCCTGGGCTAACATTCGTGCCTATCTTCCTCTACTTTATATGTGGGACGTGGCCACAGCATGGCTTGATAAGCGGTGCGTAGATCCGTGCCCGGGATTCAAACCGGTGAACCCTGGGCCGCCAAAGCGGAGCATGTGAACTTAACCACTACACCACCGGGCCAGCCCCAAGACTTTTCTAGTGCTAAATGTCAGTGACTCCATATAGAGTAGATTCTGTTCTCATCATTCAATTATGAAAGTTAAAAAATATCATTATATATTTAAGTTAAAATGTACCATTAGATAGGTCAATCTGTCTTACTACAAAAGAGGCAGAAAAAGGATTAATGTTTTAAATGAATTAAACAGAATTAAGCTTTCCTAATTTAGAGTTGTCACATTGTGAAAAATCTAGATTATATACCAAGGAAAGGGGATATTGCATTAATCATTAAGGATTGTTCATATTCTTTAAGACTAGATTCTGTTAATGGAATTGGTCATCAACTACAATTCAAAAAATTGTAAATCAAGTTACACCTCCCTTCTTATCAATTTGTTCCTCATCTATTAATCATAAATAAATTCAACATACTCTTATATTTTCAAATCATCTTGTATATTCTGTTAATAAAAGCTAAAATTATCTTCGAACTAATTTTTCTTCCTCCATAAGTCAAACATTCGTTGCATTCATAATAATTACATCTGAAAACCACCCTACATAGTCACGTGATAAGTGGCTTAATTGTCACAATTCTCTGTTTACAGTCTGTCTTTGAGTAATGGTTAAACATACATCAGAGCATCAAATCAAGAACTCTGCAATTATCATAAGTACTATGATAGTATAGTACTGGCACATGAATAAACCAGTGGAATAGAACAGAATCCAGAAAGAAACCGCATACATTAGACACCTGATTGATTACCAAAGAAGCAGTATAGAAAAAATCAGTTTTTCAATAAATGGTGCTAGGTCAATTGTATATTCACAAAGGAAAAAAAAATGAATGAGCCCTATTTCACATCATATCAAAAATAAATTCCAAGGGCTGGCCCTGTGGCGTAGTGGTTAAGTTCAGCGTGCTCTGTTTTGGCGGCCCGGATTCTCAGGCTCGGATCCCAGGCACGGACCTATGCCACTCATCAGCCATGCAGAGGCAGAGACCCACATACAAAATAGAGGAAGAATGGCACGGATATTAGCTCAGGGCTAATCTTCCTCAGGCAAAAAAAAAAAAAAAAGAAGACTGGCAATGGATGTTAGTTCAAGGAGACTCTCCCTCACAAAAAATAAATAAATAAATTCCAAGGCTTTCTAACTATGATTCAATGATAAAACAAAGAATTAATAAATTTGACTAGGGCTGGCCCCATGGCTTAGCAGTTAAGTGAGCGCGCTCCACTGCTGGCGACCCGGGTTCGGATCCCGGGCTCGCACCGACGCGCTGCTTCTCTGGCCATGCTGAGGCCGTGTCCCACATACAGCAACTAGAAGGATGTGCAGCTATGACACACAGCTATCTACTGGGGCTTTGGGGGGAAAAAATAAGTAATAAAAATAAAAAAATCTTTAAAAAAATAAAAATAAATATAAAAAAATAAATTTGACTACGTAAAAATTAAAATCTTAAAAAAAAATTTTTTTTTCCCCCAAAGCCCCAGTAGATAGTTGTGTGTCATAGCTGCACATCCTTCTAGTTGCTATATGTGGGACGCAGCCTCAGCATGGCCGGAGAAGCAGTGCATCGGTGTGCACCCGAGATCCGAACCCGGGCCGCCAGCAGCGGAGAGCGCGCACTTAACCGCTAAGCCACAGGGCCGGCCCTAAAATCTTAAAAATTTTTTTAAAAACTTTTGCATGGCCAAAAAAATTATCATAAGCAAAGTAGGAAAAAAACATGAGAAACTGGGAGAGTATATTTGCACTATCTCACAGATAAAGGGCTAACATTTCTAATACACAAAGAACTCTTCAAAACCAAGGGGGAAAAGACCAAAACCACACAGAAAAGTGAGCAAAACGAACAATCACATACAATCAATTCACACACACAAAAAAAAGATGATCAGTCAAACTCACAATAGGAGAAAAGCAAATTAAACAACACTGAGATACCACTTCTCACCTATCTGATAGGCAAAAATGAAAAAGTATGACAGATTCTGTTGGGAAGGATGTGGGGAAACACGCACTCTCACAAGTTGCTCATAAGAATGCAAATTGATATAGCCTTATACAAGGAATCTGGCAATACCTAACAAAGCTACATATGCATTTACCTTTTGCCTAGAAATCCCACTTCTAGGAATTTAACCTGAAGACACACCTCCAATAATACAAAAATACATATGTAGAAGGTTATTCATTGCAGCATTGTTTTTAATTGCAAAATATTGGAAACACCTTAAATGCCTATACATAGGAAAGTAGCTGAATAAACTCTAGTACATCCATATAATGAAATATTAAACAGAATGGGAAAGACTGCTATAAATTGGTATGGAGAGATTTCTAGAATACATTAAGTGAAATAAAGCAAAGTGCAAAAGTATATCTAATTAAGCCAACTTTTGTAAGAAAGGGAAAATTAAAAAATATAAACGTTATCTGCTCATTTCGGTAAAAAGAAACAAAGGAAGGATAAACAAAAACCACATTAGAGGGCCGGCTCCGTGGCTTAACGGTTAAGTGCGCGCGCTCTGATGCTGGCGGCCCGGGTTCGGATCCCGGGCAAGCCCCAAGGCGCCACTTCTCCGTCCAACGCGAGGCCGAGTCCCACGTGCAGCAACTAGAAGGATGTGAACCTATGACATACAGCTATCTACTGGGACTTTGGGGGGAAAAAATGAATAAATAAAATCTTAAAAAAAAAAAAAACCACATTAGACTGTTTACCTCCAAGGGGTGGGTGGGACAGAGTAAGAAGGAATGCGGGAGGGGAGGGCACTTCTCAGAGCACATCTTCTCATAGTTCTGACATATGGAACCATGGCAGTGATTCTCACGCTCACAATAAAGGAATAAAATAAACAAGGCTGGGGAAAACCCTAAAATGGAACATAGTAGGAACAAATGGACCCAACAGCATTTCAAATGAATAACATATCCACACGTGGTGGGGGTGGGGGAGAAATCCAAATATCTTTGGAACCAGTATTTTGACCATAAATCCTCAAACTCTCAAGCTCAAGACAAAAAAGTGTAAATTTTGAACTCTAGCTGATAGATTTGTTTTTTGCAGTGGTATGCGTAAGCAATTCTCTAACTATTTTCTGTATATCCGGGATTGAGAAAATAAGTAAATATATTATAGATAATGAAAGCCAGGTTTCTCACAATTGGACAAAGGGATTACAATTATGGAAAGTGGAAAGGCTACTATGAAGCTTGTATGTCAACTGGAATTGGAAGTATCAGTGTGAACTCATAGGTTTTAATATATATGAATAGAGA